AATTTATAGAAGGATCAATATGTATTAATCCTAAACTCACTTTTCTCCACTTGTAAGGGCAATACAGACTTCAAGCTCTACGACTGCCCTAGAGAAAAACTTTTCTGCAATTCTGATAAAAATCTTACCTGATTCTTATCAAATTCTTATATAAGATTACGCAGGAAAGTGAACAAAGTTTGATAAGAGTCTTATAAGAATCTGATAAGAAAGTGATAAGAAGCTCTTATCTGTTGCTTATAGACGTGTTACAAAATGCTTATTCTTACCGAATTTTGATAAGAAGTTTCTGACATATTTTGTCCTTGCAAGACTTTTCAGAAGAGTTAATTTTAAATTATTCTAGAGACCACGAGTAATTTAACAATTCCTTTTTACTCAGCGAAACAGTAAGAAACTCAATGTTTGACTATGAAACAAAGTTGTTATGCTGTCGAGAGTTCTCTGTCTTTAGTTGTGGATATACTCAGACAAGGAATTCAAAAATCTAAAATGGGTTGTAATAGCGAGATGATCGTTCATTATCACAGTACGTGGATAAGAGCATGGCATGCTGTAGGCCCTAGGTTCGAATCAGACGAATCGTGTGATTTTTTCAAACTGTTTTTGCACAATTCAGATGCATAACATAATTTAACTTCTTGAGCATTTTTCAGATCGCTTTACAAAACAAGAATTCCATACGAAAATGATAAGAAGTTCATAAGACTTCTTATTACTTTCGTATGAAATTCTTATGACATTCTTATCAGATTTGTATAAGACTCTTATCAAACTCCGTTTACTTTCCTGCGTAATCTTGTTTAAGAGTTTGATAAGAATCACATAAGATTTTTACGTGAATCTTATTGAGTACTTATAAGTTTCTTATAAGATTCTTAACTGATGCTTATAGAAGAATCGACGCCTACGCTGTTAGGTATGTGCAGCACGATATCAAACTGAAGCTGGATCTTTATTTCCTTAGGCCTATATCGACTTGTCAAGACTCTCTCTCGCCTCACAATTGAACAGAATCAAGAATACCAAAGTTCCTTCAACAAGTACGCTTGTTACACGGGGAGCACCAATGAAAAAGTGTAGTAAAAGTAAAGTCGTTCGAGAGGAAAGAACAGTTATTTTTATTTGGAGCTATAACTTTGTTCTCCATTTTAAGGCGCTTCGAATGGCGTCAAACTCAAGTATCTGGCGCTTTACGAAAACGACTTGATACCTTTTTGAGCAAGGGTGCTCCATTTTGACCATCTTTTGGTAATGAATTTTTTTGAATGACTTCTCGCGACTCAGAAAAATCGAAATACACTTTTCTATATCCATTATCATCCACTGATTCCGAAAATAACATTCGGAAGGTTCAGCGACCTTCTACAGCTGAGATAGTGCGTGTTTTCTAAAAAGTGGAAATTTTTCGAAAAAACGAAGCCTTACTATTTTTCGATTTTTTCGAGGAAACTGAAAATTTTTTAACTATGATATTCATGATCAGCGTAAAATTCGACGTCGAATGAGGTATATTTGAGGCAAAAATAATATCTTGCTTGATCTTTGAATTAGCGGAACCTTAGCACACTCTCTTTCTCGCCATTTTTTAAGTATTTTTTCCAATTATGAAAGTATTTCAAGTAAAAAACTTCGAAACATTGCGAATAACTACTTATTAATACTAATACTATAATATTTTTTTTCTTTAGTCATATTCCTCTGTAACTGATGATCAGTCTTTTTCTTTCTCTCTCCAATTCTCTTTTTTATTATTTTATATGTCTGTTATTATCTTTCCTACTTATCCGTTCTTTAAGACTCATCTGCAAATTGTTACAGTGTATTCCATTAGATCGCGATTTCAATTTGTATTAAGATTTTCTTCATTTTTAAATCAAGTTTATACCAACTGTCAGTTCATTTTTTAATTATTTAAAAGTGCTGTTAGGAGAAATTAATTTCTTTATGGAAGATTGCAAGCTTCTTTTGCTTGTCTCAGTTCACTGTATTTGTTTGTTGTTGTTATTCTTTATTCTACCTTCTTTCATAGACTATTTTCACTTGTTTACTTTCAGATTCAATAATAATCGCGCAACGCCATTGTTGTAATAATGCCACCTTATTCTCAAAAGTGTCGAGTGTCACCTATTGTTTTTTTCCCTTAAGGAGAAAAATACGTATGCTATAAATGCCATTATATTTACTTAGCAGTTAGTTTAATTTTTTAGGTGAATCTGATCGATAACGTCTCATAAGCAATACTTGAATATCTTAATTCAACGTTTCCTGTACTAGCCCAGCTCTAAAATTCAAGAAAAGTATACAGATTTACAGCGTTTTTCAAGTCCTATCGAATGATATATGAATGAACTTTGTTGTGCAGTTGAGTGATCTCAATTAAATTAAAACACAGTGGATTACCTTTATAAGATTTGATACTCCACCAGCGTTGAATCAGTTTTGTGTACATTAATAGTCAAACAATATCCTAAAAACACGATTTTGTAGCCCATGAGAAATTCTGTCTATTGATATATAGCCTTAAATTAGTACACGTTTGGTAAGTAAAACAAATCGGAAGTAGTGAAAAGGTTTCCTAGCTTGACCAACCAACTTTCAAAAATAAACTTCCCTTTTGGAAAGTTAACTACTGTATTCGCCTTGTTTGTAGCAAGGAAATCCAAATATTCAATGACGATACACGAGCTAATGTTCCACTCTGCTGAACTAATACATAAAAATAATGCTTTAGAACGAAGCTTTCAAGGTACCCCTCCCCTCATTTATCCGTAGAAATACTTGAAAATAAAAAATAAAACTCACTAAGCCTTAATATTTTTAGAACTGATTGGAAACCCTATAGGACACGTTTTCATTTTTTGTTTCAAGTTTTTAACTATTGCCGTTTACCAGTTTTCCAGAAAACTCGGTTTTTGATTGAACCACATTACGACTCCCTTAAATCGCATCCAATAGAGGTAAAAATTTTACCAGAGATACTCAAGGTCATAGCGCAGGGGTATAATTTTGCAATTTTCTTTCAGACCCTTCTTTACCAAGTTACAGGGTTTCTAAAATTCAAAAACTTGGTTTTTGAAAGTTTCAGCATTTTTCCTATAACTGGGTAAAGAATTCTAAAAGCAAATTCCAAAAATATCGCTGCGCTATGACCTTGAGTATCTCTGGTAAAATGTTTAACTCGATTGGACGAAATTTAAGCGGGGTGATAATGTGGTTCACTGAAAAACCAACTTTTCTGGAAAACTGGTGAACGGCAATAGTTAAAAACTTGAAACAAAAATGAAATAGTGCTCCATTGTGTTACCAATCAGTTATAAAAGTATTAAGGCTTAGTGAGTTTGAATTTTTATTTCACAGCAATTCTACGGAAAGCAAAATGAGGGGAGGGGTACCCTTAAAAACGATAACAAATATGTCAAAAGTTTTCGTAAGTTTCTTGCTCGAAAGGCTTGTCACATCCGAAACTTAACAGATGTTTACAACAACTTATTCTTACGATCGAATTTCATTTGTATATATGAGAAGCATTTACCAGATGGAATACAAAAGAAAAAATGAAAACAACTTGTTTAAGCGAAGATGATACTCTATTAGACAATATCTTAATAGTAGAAAAATATTGAGAGTCTTTTTTCAAGAAAAAATGAATAAAAGAAGCTTCTTTGCACGATAAGTTCTACGTACCTAAGAAGATCAACGTTCTTTGTCTGAGTAAGGAAGAAACGGGCAACAGACCTACTTATTCCTTCCACTATATATCAGTGAAACACTTTCTTCCGTTCAATATGGTGTTCTAAATTGTTTTACTTGTGGGTCTCCAGAAAACCTTTACGAAGATTTCAGAAACTTTTTCCGATGTCCTGATTCAAAAGAGAGTGTTCAATATAGTATGAAATCGTTTTCTGCTCTGTTTTCAATAATCAGATCTTAACAGATCCTAGAAGATCTGTAAAAAACCCAGGTGATCCCAATGCATTTTTCTGATCTGTCGTTAGAAAGAGCGTACTCGATGTTCTATAAAATTGCTTTTTCCATAAATCTTTTCCTAAATATTTCGATCTCCACAGATCCGTCAGATCTGTAGAAAGCCTCCATGGCAGTCCTGAAATATTTTTTGTACCTCAGCACGAGAAAGAACATGTTTGATAACCTATGAGATCGATTTTTGAAAGCGTCTATCTAACAAATAACATGATTCATAACATATGTCTACCTGCTATGTAAAAATTGTACACTACAGGGGAGCAATCTTAATAGTTAAGTTTGTTTATTATTTATTTGCTGTCAAAACTTAATAATAAAGAAATAACCAATGATTGAATATATTTATGTTGTACTGCTCTCATGTTGTTGTTGTCGATTGCGAATATAAATATTGATATCTTCTACTGTTTCTTGTTGTTTTTCTAATTTTTTACGTTCATCTTCATCTCTACGTTTATATTGTATTTTAACAAATAAAATCATGATAATAGATAAAAAAGTCGTAAGTAATACTAAGAAATTCATCAAAACTGTACGATCAGGTGCTATAAATAAGAAAATCAAAACAATAATATTTATCCATTCTACTAATATTGATGCTGATAATGATTCTGGAAGAGGATACATAATTTCCGCTAAACATTCATAAATCAAAGGATTTGCTGCACCTTGAAATAAACCAGTAAATGCTAATGATAAACCAATTGATACAGTTGATGGTTTTAATATTGGTTTTTTAGAAAATATTGTTCGGACACTTAACTGAAACCATAAACAACAAAGCAAAGAACAGAATAATGATATTAATATTAATAATTTTAGTAAACGTTGAAAATATTTTGAATCAGCCATTGTTGATACGATTAAACCACCAATCATAGTAGCCATTGCAAAACCAAAACCAAACCAACCTGAAAAAAAACTTAAATATGTCTTGGTAACGGTATTACACACTGCATACCTGCTTGAGTTTCTGTATAATGCATTGGTGTTAAAATGGTCGCAAATAATCCGTTCCATGCTGTAAATGTACCTTCAAAAATACCGCCAGCCAATGATAATAATAAAAATGGGATACATGTTAAACACTGCCAAACATTTGATAGATATATTTTCAAACTATTTATCCCGTTTTGGTTTCCACTATTTGAAGAATAAATTAATAATTCAGCTGCTGGTGATGGTGGTGTTGGAGGTACTGCAGGAAAATAAATTATTGCTAATATACATGAAAGAAATGATAGTCCAACATGTAAATATAATAAATAAGGTACATGATCAGGCTTATCAACAATATAAGGTGAGATAACAAAACCAATGGTACAACCAAAACTAGCACTTAATATGGCTATACACGTTGCTCTTGTACGTTCATTTGTACCAAACCATAAACAGGATAATTGTGATACAGGTGCCATTTGATTGATCCATTTATTATGTGTGTTAGACTAAAGTAAATATAAGATGAAAATTGTGTAAAGATTCGATGAAGTAATAATTGAATCTAATAACGCAAGCGGTCCACATGCTGCATTTATAATTTGTCCTAAATGTAAAAATGGTAATGGCTTTAAATGTGTAAAAATTAATGGCAGAATTCGAATTGATGTTGCAAGAAATACGGAAATAGCAAACGTTAAAACACATTTACGTAAACCGTTTTTCTTATTTAATAATATGTAAGTTAATGGTTTGGTACAAATGAACGTACAAGAGCAACGTGTATAGCCATATTAAGTGCTAGTTTTGGTTGTACCATTGGTTTTGTTATCTCACCTTATATTGTTGATAAGCCTGATCATGTACCTTATTTATTATATTTACATGTTGGACTATCATTTCTTTCATGTATATTAGCAATAATTTATTTTCCTGCAGTACCTCCAACACCACCATCACCAGCAGCTGAATTATTAATTTATTCTTCAAATAGTGGAAACCAAAACGGGATAAATAGTTTGAAAATATATCTATCAAATGTTTGGCAGTGTTTAACATGTATCCCATTTTTATTATTATCATTGGCTGGCGGTATTTTTGAAGGTACATTTACAGCATGGAACGGATTATTTGCGACCATTTTAACACCAATGCATTATACAGAAACTCAAGCAGGTATGCAGTGTGTAATACCGTTACCAAGACATATTTAAGTTTTTTTTCAGGTTGGTTTGGTTTTGGTTTTGCAATGGCTACTATGATTGGTGGTTTAATCGTATCAACAATGGCTGATTCAAAATATTTTCAACGTTTACTAAAATTATTAATATTAATATCATTATTCTGTTCTTTGCTTTGTTGTTTATGGTTTCAGTTAAGTGTCCGAACAATATTTTCTAAAAAACCAATATTAAAACCATCAACTGTATCAATTGGTTTATCATTAGCATTTACTGGTTTATTTCAAGGTGCAGCAAATCCTTTGATTTATGAATGTTTAGCGGAAATTATGTATCCTCTTCCAGAATCATTATCAGCATCAATATTAGTAGAATGGATAAATATTATTGTTTTGATTTTCTTATTTATAGCACCTGATCGTACAGTTTTGATGAATTTCTTAGTATTACTTACGACTTTTTTATCTATTATCATGATTTTATTTGTTAAAATACAATATAAACGTAGAGATGAAGATGAACGTAAAAAATTAGAAAAACAACAAGAAACAGTAGAAGATATCAATATTTATATTCGCAATCGACAACAACAACATGAGAGCAGTACAACATAAATATATTCAATCATTGGTTATTTCTTTATTATTAAGTTTTGACAGCAAATAAATAATAAACAAACTTAACTATTAAGATTGCTCCCCTGTAGTGTACAATTTTTACATAGCAGGTAGACATATGTTATGAATCATGTTATTTGTTAGATAGACGCTTTCAAAAATCGATCTCATAGGTTATCAAACATGTTCTTTCTCGTGCTGAGGTACAAAAAATATTTCAGGACTGCCATGGAGGCTTTCTACAGATCTGACGGATCTGTGGAGATCGAAATATTTAGGAAAAGATTTATGGAAAAAGCAATTTTATAGAACATCGAGTACGCTCTTTCTAACGACAGATCAGAAAAATGCATTGGGATCACCTGGGTTTTTTACAGATCTTCTAGGATCTGTTAAGATCTGATTATTGAAAACAGAGCAGAAAACGATTTCATACTATATTGAACACTCTCTTTTGAATCAGGACATCGGAAAAAGTTTCTGAAATCTTCGTAAAGGTTTTCTGGAGACCCACAAGTAAAACAATTTAGAACACCATATTGAACGGAAGAAAGTGTTTCACTGATATATAGTGGAAGGAATAAGTAGGTCTGTTGCCCGTTTCTTCCTTACTCAGACAAAGAACGTTGATCTTCTTAGGTACGTAGAACTTATCGTGCAAAGAAGCTTCTTTTATTCATTTTTTCTTGAAAAAAGACTCTCAATATTTTTCTACTATTAAGATATTGTCTAATAGAGTATCATCTTCGCTTAAACAAGTTGTTTTCATTTTTTCTTTTGTATTCCATCTGGTAAATGCTTCTCATATATACAAATGAAATTCGATCGTAAGAATAAGTTGTTGTAAACATCTGTTAAGTTTCGGATGTGACAAGCCTTTCGAGCAAGAAACTTACGAAAACTTTTGACATATTTGTTATCGTTTTTAAGGGTACCCCTCCCCTCATTTTGCTTTCCGTAGAATTGCTGTGAAATAAAAATTCAAACTCACTAAGCCTTAATACTTTTATAACTGATTGGTAACACAATGGAGCACTATTTCATTTTTGTTTCAAGTTTTTAACTATTGCCGTTCACCAGTTTTCCAGAAAAGTTGGTTTTTCAGTGAACCACATTATCACCCCGCTTAAATTTCGTCCAATCGAGTTAAACATTTTACCAGAGATACTCAAGGTCATAGCGCAGCGATATTTTTGGAATTTGCTTTTAGAATTCTTTACCCAGTTATAGGAAAAATGCTGAAACTTTCAAAAACCAAGTTTTTGAATTTTAGAAACCCTGTAACTTGGTAAAGAAGGGTCTGAAAGAAAATTGCAAAATTATACCCCTGCGCTATGACCTTGAGTATCTCTGGTAAAATTTTTACCTCTATTGGATGCGATTTAAGGGAGTCGTAATGTGGTTCAATCAAAAACCGAGTTTTCTGGAAAACTGGTAAACGGCAATAGTTAAAAACTTGAAACAAAAAATGAAAACGTGTCCTATAGGGTTTCCAATCAGTTCTAAAAATATTAAGGCTTAGTGAGTTTTATTTTTTATTTTCAAGTATTTCTACGGATAAATGAGGGGAGGGGTACCTTGAAAGCTTCGTTCTAAAGCATTATTTTTATGTATTAGTTCAGCAGAGTGGAACATTAGCTCGTGTATCGTCATTGAATATTTGGATTTCCTTGCTACAAACAAGGCGAATACAGTAGTTAACTTTCCAAAAGGGAAGTTTATTTTTGAAAGTTGGTTGGTCAAGCTAGGAAACCTTTTCACTACTTCCGATTTGTTTTACTTACCAAACGTGTACTAATTTAAGGCTATATATCAATAGACAGAATTTCTCATGGGCTACAAAATCGTGTTTTTAGGATATTGTTTGACTATTAATGTACACAAAACTGATTCAACGCTGGTGGAGTATCAAATCTTATAAAGGTAATCCACTGTGTTTTAATTTAATTGAGATCACTCAACTGCACAACAAAGTTCATTCATATATCATTCGATAGGACTTGAAAAACGCTGTAAATCTGTATACTTTTCTTGAATTTTAGAGCTGGGCTAGTACAGGAAACGTTGAATTAAGATATTCAAGTATTGCTTATGAGACGTTATCGATCAGATTCACCTAAAAAATTAAACTAACTGCTAAGTAAATATAATGGCATTTATAGCATACGTATTTTTCTCCTTAAGGGAAAAAAACAATAGGTGACACTCGACACTTTTGAGAATAAGGTGGCATTATTACAACAATGGCGTTGCGCGATTATTATTGAATCTGAAAGTAAACAAGTGAAAATAGTCTATGAAAGAAGGTAGAATAAAGAATAACAACAACAAACAAATACAGTGAACTGAGACAAGCAAAAGAAGCTTGCAATCTTCCATAAAGAAATTAATTTCTCCTAACAGCACTTTTAAATAATTAAAAAATGAACTGACAGTTGGTATAAACTTGATTTAAAAATGAAGAAAATCTTAATACAAATTGAAATCGCGATCTAATGGAATACACTGTAACAATTTGCAGATGAGTCTTAAAGAACGGATAAGTAGGAAAGATAATAACAGACATATAAAATAATAAAAAAGAGAATTGGAGAGAGAAAGAAAAAGACTGATCATCAGTTACAGAGGAATATGACTAAAGAAAAAAAATATTATAGTATTAGTATTAATAAGTAGTTATTCGCAATGTTTCGAAGTTTTTTACTTGAAATACTTTCATAATTGGAAAAAATACTTAAAAAATGGCGAGAAAGAGAGTGTGCTAAGGTTCCGCTAATTCAAAGATCAAGCAAGATATTATTTTTGCCTCAAATATACCTCATTCGACGTCGAATTTTACGCTGATCATGAATATCATAGTTAAAAAATTTTCAGTTTCCTCGAAAAAATCGAAAAATAGTAAGGCTTCGTTTTTTCGAAAAATTTCCACTTTTTAGAAAACACGCACTATCTCAGCTGTAGAAGGTCGCTGAACCTTCCGAATGTTATTTTCGGAATCAGTGGATGATAATGGATATAGAAAAGTGTATTTCGATTTTTCTGAGTCGCGAGAAGTCATTCAAAAAAATTCATTACCAAAAGATGGTCAAAATGGAGCACCCTTGCTCAAAAAGGTATCAAGTCGTTTTCGTAAAGCGCCAGATACTTGAGTTTGACGCCATTCGAAGCGCCTTAAAATGGAGAACAAAGTTATAGCTCCAAATAAAAATAACTGTTCTTTCCTCTCGAACGACTTTACTTTTACTACACTTTTTCATTGGTGCTCCCCGTGTAACAAGCGTACTTGTTGAAGGAACTTTGGTATTCTTGATTCTGTTCAATTGTGAGGCGAGAGAGAGTCTTGACAAGTCGATATAGGCCTAAGGAAATAAAGATCCAGCTTCAGTTTGATATCGTGCTGCACATACCTAACAGCGTAGGCGTCGATTCTTCTATAAGCATCAGTTAAGAATCTTATAAGAAACTTATAAGTACTCAATAAGATTCACGTAAAAATCTTATGTGATTCTTATCAAACTCTTAAACAAGATTACGCAGGAAAGTAAACGGAGTTTGATAAGAGTCTTATACAAATCTGATAAGAATGTCATAAGAATTTCATACGAAAGTAATAAGAAGTCTTATGAACTTCTTATCATTTTCGTATGGAATTCTTGTTTTGTAAAGCGATCTGAAAAATGCTCAAGAAGTTAAATTATGTTATGCATCTGAATTGTGCAAAAACAGTTTGAAAAAATCACACGATTCGTCTGATTCGAACCTAGGGCCTACAGCATGCCATGCTCTTATC